AGAGAGAGAGAGAGAGAGAGAGAGAAACAAAAGGGAATTCTCGCGAAAAGAAAGACCGCTTCAATCCTAACGAGCGTATCAAGCGCATTATTTTTAACACGTAAATAGGTTCCCCAGGAGTCAAAGCTCTCACGCTGCCAGAATCCCTTCTTATTTATGTCTTTTAACTGTACTTCGCTTTATCGATAAATATTATCGCGGTTACACGCTTAATTTCGGTTACAAGTTCATTGGTTTCGCGAAAGCTGGCAGCGCGAAAGAGACTCAAGCTCCAGAAAAAAAAAAGAACAGGGGTGGGGGGGGGGAAGAAAGAACAAGGGAAGAGAAAAAAAGATTCGCCCCCCCCCCGTCAGACACCCTCGTTTAACGTTTTTACAGTCGACGGAAAGCACTTTTGGACAATATACAACGTTATAGTTTAGGACCTTCGTTGTCGTCGAGTTCGATGTACGCGCGACTTCAGTTAACACTAAATTCCTAAGTAGTATATAATAACTATACGAATCTCTCACTATCTCGAAACACCGTCTCCTCCCCAAAGTTTCTTTCTACGTAAGTCTCGTTTCCTTTTTTTTTTCGTTTTCTCTTCGACTTTCTTCTCCTCCTCTTCTTCCTCTTCCGCTTCACGTCCATCATCGTCGTCCTCTCATTCGCGCGCTTACATTCGTCTAATCGTCTCATCGTGATCACTAACTCGTGATAAATAACTTGTATGTTTATTTATTTATTTATTTTTTCGTTACTTTTAGTTAACCGCTTACTTCGTCCTTCTTCTTCTTCTTCGTTCTGTTTATATCGATAGTAGTCGGTATTAAATATTCACTTTGTTTCTAACTAGCAGCCTCTGGGGTGACTAGCCCCCTAGCATGACCAGCCCCCCTTTCTTCATCTACGTTTCTTCGTCTCTGTGTTTCTCTCTTTTTTTTTTTTTTTTTCTTTTTTTCTCTTTTTCTTTTCCACTAGTGTCAGCGCTAGGGCGATTATAATCAACGTAATCGTACAGTTACAAATGTTATCAATTACCATTTTTTATCGTATTATTATCAATATTATAATTAATATCATCGTCCGTGGACCGTGGTTTTAGTCTAGACCGATGCTCTCGTCGATCGAGTTTCCCCTCGACCTTCTCTCCCCTTCCCACGCCCCCCCCCCTTCTTTCCCCTTCACCCTTGTTTTTTTCGATTACTTTTAAAAAAATGTTCGTTTCCCTCTTCGATGATCGCGTCATCGAGGAAGAAGAAGTCATCTAAGGGTCAAGCATGTGTACGTGTGCGCGTGTGTCTGTGTTCCTTCATAAATATTATAAAAAAATATAATAGAAAAATTATAATTTCGTTATAATATTTATAAACTACGAGATTGGCACTAGAAATTCTTTTTTTTCCTTTCTTCCGTTTTCTCGATCCGTCCCTTCGCTTTCCTCGTTTTTCATTGTTAACCATTTTTACCTCGCCGTTCTCTTCCGTTCCGTTTCGTTTCGCCGTTCAGATGCAAACTACCCTAACGTCGTCTAACGATCTTACAAAATACCACGACAGCGTGTATGTACAAAGGAAACCGCACGTTCTCCGAGGCGGGAAGAACAGGGAAACAGACGGGCAAAAATCTCTTCTTGTTTCTTCTTCTCCTTGTTCCGTTTGCTTCCTGCTTTCAATTTTGCCGGCTGACGCTTCAACCAGGGGACGAGAGATGAGGGGTCCTTACTCACGTTAGAGAGAAAGAAAGAGAGAGAGGGAGGGAGAGAGAGAGAGAGAGAGAGAGTTAGAAATTAACAGCGCGTCGAGGGAGGAGAACGACGCTTCCGGTGGCGCGGAAGTAATAATTGACCGAGACGCTTACCCTCTGAGGACTGAGAATTGCCTCGCCTTCTTCGCGGAAAATTAACTTAATATTGCACATAGGAAAGGAATAGGCCAATCTTTCTCAATCGGAAACATATAAAAATGAAAGGAAACCAAGCTCTTTGTCGAAAGCGTAAAACAATGTATAGAAAACGGAGGCCGAGAATGAAATTAAAATTCGCAATTCGTCGACGTAAAAACGTAAAAAAAAAAAAAATATATATATATATATATATAAATCAATTTTTTTTTTCATTGAAACGTGTAAAAAGCTGATCTTCTTTTCATCGAAAAACATGAAACGCAAATTTCCAACATCGAATCGAATAAATTTCCGGAATTTCAGAATCATCGGAAAAGAAATCGAAAGAATTGAAAAAGTTCCAAGGGATGAAAGGCGGATGGGTGGTGGAGCCTCAGAGGGCGAATAAGAAGATAATCCGAGAGTGATCTAAAAACCCTGGACAGAGAGAGAGAGAGAAGGAGAGATGGCGGAGGCCCGGTTCGCCGGAAGCGGCGTCGAACGGTTCCCCCGACGCGGCCCGCTTAAACTACGATCAGACTCTCAGGCACTCGATTCTCCGCAGGCTTAGGTCGCGAAGCTGAACACGACACGAGGAATCCTGGCGATTCCCCTCCGGCTCAGGGGGATAATTATCGTACGCGCCGGTGAGTAACGACCCCGTGGAACAAGCGAGCTTCTCGACGCTTTCTCCTCTAAGCCTCCAGTGTCACGGGGGAGACTTGGGTCTGCCGCTCTTGTCCTGCATCACTTGTTGCTGTTGCTGTTGTTGTTGTTGTTGCTGCTGCTGTTGCGGTGGCGGTTGTTGTTGCTGTTGTTGCTGTTGCTGCTGCTGTTGTTGTTGAGGTGGAGGTTGTTGCTGAGGTTGTTGGGGCTGCTGCTGTTGATGGTGGTGGGAAGTTGGGTCCGTCGCTACACCTAGATCCGTGCCCATCAGGTTGCCGGCGCCGCTCTTGTCCACCACGTTGCTCGTGTGCACCGGATGAAAGTATCGGTCTGCAACAGGTCAACGACAAATCTGTTCAGGAAAACTCGGTTTATCTCGCGATTGGATTACATACTAGGTTAGGCCGATAAGTCCGTACAATTGATTGTAGGATTGTTGTGAAGAAAGTGAAAGTACCTGAAATTTCGCAGTGAAGGCGTTTCAAGCTTACACCCCCCCCTCCCCCCCAAATCGATCAAGTGGATCAAAACGGTCAATATGGAAAACTTTTGCGTCATTTATTCAGAAAGAGAAAAAAGGTACAGACTCATTGACCAAGACCCAAGATCCAAATTAGAATCGAAACCGAATCGGAAGTGTCAACCATGGGGAATTTGGTGTATCGACCTTCGTCCATGGTGGAAGGTGGCTCGCTAGCGGTGCCGGTGATGATCGGGGCGATCATGTTGTAATCGTCCTCGAGGTTGATGAACGGCGCTGTGTTCCAGCGTGGCGGCACGTTAGAGACGGATCTCTGCGTAGCCACTGGCCTCGTCACCGAGACCGGCGACGAGAACAGCGACAGATTCGTCGGGGAGATCACCCCGGACATCGAGCTGATGGTGGGATACGTGAATATTTGCTGTCAACAGAAAGAACAAGATAGAAAGTTCCTCGTCTTGACTATAACCAATTTAACCACTTGCGCTGGTAACTGGTTTGCGGACCATAACGAGTGACCAAACTCTATACTCAATAATTCGT